CCCCCCCCCTTCAGACAAATAAGAAAGGGAAATCACAGCGTATTTATACAATTTAGACCCTGGTCATCTTTTTTTGCTCTTTGAAATCTCCCTGTGTACTCACTATCCCAGTATGATGGATCAGTCTTTGTTGTCCTTGTTCAGCTCTTAGCCAAAAGACTATTCCTGGAAGATAACTGTGCATTTGAGAGTGCTTTGAGTCATGTCAATATCCACTGTTTTCTGTGAAAGTATTGGCAGTCTTGCAGCATCAGGTGTTGAAGGCAAAAGACAAAATGAGAGAGTGTTTTTGTTACGGTGGTAACTGTGAACTGGGTTACTTCAGTTACATAAAGGAGTTTTGTAAGTTGTTTCTCAGAAGAAGTTGAAATAGATGGAGCAGGAGATGAACAGTAGAATTTATTTTCATTTCATAGCTATATTTTACTGTTGCTGAAAAAGAAAACTAGCTGTTCTAGAATACATCGATGTTTTAAAACTTCTGTTCCAACTCTCTGGAGGTTTATGTAGGTTTCAATCTGTGTGGAAAATAAGATGAAACGGAGGAAGGATAAAAATAACTGAACCTTTTTAATATCTCTGAGCAAAATCAGTGACGGAGTTGTCTCCCAATCATTGTAGCAAAAAAAGAAGGGAGGCAAGGTGTCGTGTTTAACAGCAGGTCTGCAGTGAGTTCCGTAAAGGTATAATCCAGACTTGTCATCAGAGCGTTTCAGATACATGCATGCTTTCTTGCCCTCGTTCCAATGCTTGCGGCTAGTTGGTCATGTGAGGAAAGGAGCTGCGTGGCTCTGAAACAACTGCAGGGTCTTGGAATCCTTTATTACTTGCAAAGAATGAATATGCCCATACAGACATCCTGCTGTAGGGGTTCTTCTAGGCCTTTTCCATAAAGCTTCCTGCTCCTCTCAGTAGCGTGGCTAGGGCAAAGGAGGTGCTGACACCTACAAAAACTTGCTCTGAGCAAGAGCAGAGAGTGCTTCCAGTGCTGCCGGGGTATTTTTTTCAGTCCTGCTAATGGTAGCACTGAAATAACTGCTGTCAGCCGTTAAGCTGCATTAATGGTAGAAAAAGAACAACATTTGGGGGCAAGTATTAAAGCAAACCAAATATAATGCTGGAAATTTGAGGGGGGAAAAAAAAGTGTATGGTAGTAATTGCGAAGGGGAAAACTCAGATGAAAAAATGCTTCGGATTGCAGTGTTGGTTGTCATCCAACCTGAAACAAGTTATTGGATTGTTTGTCTAAATGGGAGGTTTAAAATAGAAAATAACTATTGATTTAGACTGGAGAAATGTGTGCTAGCTAAACAAAAGTAGAACACTTTCTAGTTGTATTGTTTATTTGTTCTCACTTCTAGAGTGGCGAGTCCAGGGTGATCTTTCATTTTCATTATACTACATGGCCAGACTTTGGAGTTCCTGAATCCCCAGCTTCATTCCTGAACTTCCTGTTTAAAGTCAGAGAGTCTGGTTCACTAAGCCCTGAACACGGACCTGCGGTAGTTCACTGCAGTGCGGGGATAGGACGTTCCGGCACGTTTTCATTAGTAGACACTTGTCTTGTCCTGGTAAGTGTGTGGTCGTTTTCTCTGTCACCTCCTTCCTTCTCCTGACACCCACTATGCTCTTTGTGGTCAGAAGGCTGTAAAGGCATTTAAGGGAATGACATGCCAGTGAAAACATTAATTAAGACATCGTACCTGGGGTTTTTTCTTCACATAAAATCACTGAACGGTTTGGGTTGGAAGGGACCTTAAAGACCATCCAGTTCCAACCCCCCTGCCATGGGCAGGGACACCTTCCACTAGACCAGGTTGCTCAAAGCCTCATCCAGCCTGGCCTTGAACACTTCCAGGGATGGGGCATCCACATATTTTGATGGTTTAAAAACACGCCTCTTGAAATACATTTACAAATCCATCTCCAAGTACTTCACACATTTTCAAATCTTCCTGGAAGGTAATTAGTAAGCATTCGTTTCCTTTTATATCGGATGTGCTTAGGAAAGGCTGAGTGTGTTGTGTTGGGTTTTTTTGGTGTTTTTTAACACAAGCTTAAAGTTAGGCTTGTGAACATATATTGAGCCAATTGAATGTATAAGTCTCTTTCTCCAAACATGGAGTATCTCGCAGGCCTCTTTTCTTAAGGTTGCAGAAAACTGGGATCTGAACTAGGATGAGAACTGGGGCATGCCCCTGTCTCTCCTGCAGTGTGTAATGGAGGATGGTGCAACATTTCCCTGGCTGTGCAGCCCTCTGGGAGGTGGGGCTTGGTAGCCAGTTGCAGTACCAACGTGGATGAGCAGGTGTTTTGCTTACTCACTGAACTGCATCATCTGTAATATCTCATAACTTGAGTGAACTTTAAATGTAAACTGATATTTATGATACATGTAACATATTTTTGGGTTTCAAAGTCTAGGCACAGACTTTCTGTCTTTTGGCTGTGCTTGGTGAGAAGTACAGCACAGGTTTAGGTGGAATAGGATTTCATTCAAATTATAAGACTTATCTTCTGCTTTGGTTAGGTCTTCTCAATTCCACACACACACCTCCCCCCCCCCCCCCCCGTCTTTTTTTTTTTTTTTTTTCCCCCCCCCCCCCCCCCCCCCAGTTCTCTTTTTCTGCATTTTGTAAAACATAAGTGCATATTTTGGCGCAAGTACACTTCAATATTAGAGGAATTAAAGTGAATATTACAAGAAGTGACGATATGTGATTAAAAACAGCCCCTGAATGTAATGTGGGGACAAGTGTGTGCATTGGTAGGATTAGGGATTCTGCTTTCAATAAGGAAACTTCTGCCACATTCACTCATTCCAAACTTCTGTTCCATTCAGGAACAGTGGAAAATACAGCTTTATGGTTCTGATTCTTACAGTCCTAATTTGACTGAATACATGCCTGAATAAAATCAAGCATATCTAAATTTCTTTAAATTTAAGACTTGATATTAGGGTACTGATTTATCTGGTTAACACACGATCATTGATTTGTTCATAATAAGCTTTCATTAGATGGTTAACTTTTTTTTTCCTGTAAAAACAATTTAGAAATCATTTAAGATGTTAATTTTGTATATGACTAATGGAAACATAATATGAAGAAATTGATTTTTAGATTGTATTTTATGATTCACTTTTACTTGTAATTATTGTTTTATATGTTGTCTCTCTTTATCAGTAGCAATGACGCTTTCAATGTAACTTCCTTTTGCAGATGGAGAAAAAAGACCCATTTTCTGTAGATATTAAGAAGGTATTACTGGATATGAGAAAATATCGAATGGGACTTATTCAGACTCCTGATCAACTAAGATTTTCATATATGGCTGTAATAGAAGGAGCAAAATTTATAATGGGGGATTCAACTATACAGGTAATTGTTCAGCTCTGTGTATGTGCACATGAACAGTAGACTGCTAACGGTAGTTAAAAATGGGCTCTGAACTATTTTAAAACATGTAACCGTGGGATTGAAATTATTTGCCTTTTTCAGTAGATGCCTAGAAGGTATTGGGGGGTTTCTGATCAACCAATTTTATCAGCTAAACTTTTAATCCTATGTACTTGCCCTCTCTTAGATAAAATATAAAAATAACTTGTCTGTACTAATGTAACAAAAAGTTAAATCGATATCATAGAATCACAGAATGGTTTGGGTTGGAAGGGACCTTAAAGACCATCTAGTTCCACCCCCCCTGCCATGGGCAGGGACACCTTCCACTAGACCAGGTTGCTCAAAGCCTCATCCAGCCTGGCCTTGAACACTTCCAGGGATGGGGCATCCACAGCTTCTCTGGGCAACCTGTTCCCGTGCCTCACCCCCCTCTCCCTGAAGAACTTCTTCCTGATATCTAATCTAAACCTCCGCCCTTTCAATTTAAACCCGTTACCCCTTGTCCTGTCACTACAGGCCCATGTAAAAAGTCCCCCCCAGCTTCCTTGTAGCCCCTTCAGGTACTGGAAGGGGCTTTAAGGTCTCCCCGGAGCCTTCTCTTCTCCAGGCTGAACCAGCCCAACTCTCCCAGCCTTTACCTACTGATATCTTCAGTACTGAAAAGCAAAAGTAATGCCCAGTATCCCTTTGAAAAGATAGCAAGGATCTTTTTAAGATTCTTGATCTTTGCTATATATTTTCCTCATGATCTGCCTGATGCTACAGATCAGGCTTATAAGTAAAGTTGCTTCCACCCCACTCCCCATATCCTTCAAAATTTGTTTTACAGTTAGTATCTAGCCGAATATAGTAACTTTTGGGGCAAAGAGATTACCAAATCTCACTGTTTTATCAGCGTGGCTCACAGATGTTAACAGTAACTACAGCTGTTTCAGATGGTGGGAGGGAGGACTGGGAGGAGAGGCAGTGAAACAGACTTAATGGTGCTTTCATATGCTTGGGGTTTTTTTGGTTAATCTCTTAAAATCATCAATGAAACAGATAAACTAAAACACATTTCCTCTTTTCTGTGGTTCTGGTAGTTGTCAGATTCTTCTCTTTGACGAAGTTTCTTGACTTGCTGTATAAATTAAGAAATAATTTTGCACAACGACCAGTGTCAAACACCTGGGTGGTGCGCTGTTAGTCTGACACCTGCACCGTACACCTAGGAGACTGTGTGATTCATCCTCACACTAGCAGCAGTTTAGCTGCTTTATTTTCTGGGAGCTGTTTCCGGTGGTCTGTGGGTGTTCTTCTGCCTAACATTTTTTTTCTGCTTTGTTTTTTAAGAAGCCGTGCTCTGAACTGTGAGCAGCTGTTGTTCCCACACCCATCTAGATCACAGGATTTCTTGTGTCTGGGTGCAGGGGAGCACTGTCAGCTCAGAACACTGCTTGTGGGGTTCAAGTGTGTAACTGCTGCAGTCTAAGAATGCCTGAGAAGGCACACTTCTCAGTTGTTCTTTTTTTTCCCCTCGTTACGACTGTATTGTTCGGACGATCTCTCCTAAACCAGCCTTTTCTCTAGTGCAGGCAGTTGCCCTGGCGCTGTGCTCTTTAGGCCTCAGGGTCATGTGCAGAAAATCAATTGGCAGTACTTAATAGGAGTATTTCTCCTTTCAAGGTCAACTCGATCATTCCCCACCTCCCACCCCCGTATGGAACCGTTGTACTGTCTGGAATGTGAGAGGTGTTTGCTTCTCTGCTGGGGAAACACAAAGTCCTTGACCGCTTCTGTGTTCTCACGTTATCCCAATGTTGGTCTCTGACATCTCCGTGGATTTCAGAAGTCAGTAAACTGTGCAGACAAACACAGTGTGCACTTGAACCCTTACTTGCTTACAGCTGGTGGCTGCAGCACTTGTTTGGGGTGCGAGGCATCTCCTCCTCAGGATTATCACCCCTGAACGACGGGAAGGCTCCCACGCTCGCTGAGGTTGCCCCGCAGCCCTGCAGAGGCCTGTGTAGCTGAAACAGTTACTTGCTTCCTAATTGTACTACAGCACTGCGCCACGTAAAGTGGGGAGGTGGAACACAGTTGCAGTTGTTCTATAAAATTCCCTTGTAATTAAGCAAAGTTCATGCTGCTTCACCAGCATAGCAGAGAGTAACGGGCCATCACTCTGTCAGAAAAACCTCTTGAAAAGGGTGGTGGCTGGAAAACAGATTTGTGGCTTTGAAAGAGCAAGAAGCTTGAGTTCCTTAGATCCCTAGGGGTGTGTTGCAGAGAGAGAACAAGAGTGTTACAATTTTGTATTGTAACTTGTGAATCCAAAAGCTGTATCTGCTGTTCATGGAATCACAGAATCGCAGAATGGTTTGGGCTGGAAGGGACCTTAAAGACCATCCAGTTCCAACCCGCCTGCCATGGGCAGGGACACCTTCCACTAGACCAGGTTGCTCAAAGCCTCATCCAGCCTGGCCTTGAACACATCCAGGGATGGGGCATCCACAGCTTCTCTGGGCAACCTGCGCCATGTTCATCTGATTCTGCCAACTGAACATCTTAGAGTGCCTTTCCGTTGTGTCCATTCATTCTAAGAGGCGACGCAGGCCCTAAGTCTTAGCCCCCCTGCACAGGCGTTTGGTCTTAATTTTAAGGACAGCTGTAGTTCTCAAATCAAACTTCGTCACTTTGTTTATTCCAGACGCAGTTTCACAAGACTCAGTGTAGTACTTCAGGTCCTGAGATATGTGTTTGTTCTTTTTTGTAAAGTTGCAGGTACCGTCATAAAATGGCAAAGGTAATCCTCCTTCTCCTTCTGCTCCAAGTTGTACGTTATTTTTCCAGTCCTGCCATTCCCGTGGTCTTGTCATAGATACTTAAAATTACCAGCTGTTTGAGCTATTGTTATTGTTCGTTTAAAATACGGTGGGAAATTCCTTCTGTTTGACAAGAGCAGTAAAATTGTCTCTGATTTCAGTTCTTCTGTTGTGGCTTATCACTCCAGGTGGAATCCGTATTTATCTTAGCCAGAAAAGCTCTTATGGACACAACTGTGTCTTCCAAAAGGCCTTTTTCCATGGCAGTAAAGACGGAGCTGCTAAGTGGATTTCCATTTGTCCGTGGCTGGATTGGGAGGGGTAGTTGTTTAAGACAAAACAAAGCAAACCTCTGAGAGTGGAATCACTTCTGCATGGAGACTCCCTTTGTGAATTCCGGACCTATACCGGAAGCTGGGATGCAACAGAGGCGTCAGCTCATTGTTAGAGCTCATTCTGCCAGCAGTTAATTTCTAAGTAGCTGAGGTTTGGTATGTAGTTGAGACCAGCAATCTTGAATTCGTTTGACAGATGAGCGCCCAACACTCGTTTTGTGAAGAGTCAGTTTTCAGTTCATCTTTCTTATCACAGACATGCAGAAGTAATTGTTTGGGATTCCCCTTGCTCCCCTTCGGGATATTCTTATCTTTACAGGCTGGCTGATTTGTGTGAGAAAAGAGCTGATTTCTTCCCAGAGCAAGGTGAAGGTCTGGTTTATGGTGCAGTGGATCTCTGGGCTAATGGATCACTGGGTGAAAGCGTAGGCCATGACGTTGGCATAAATAACCCTAGGTTCTTTTATTCATCGGGGTTTCACATTTCTCCAGTTCTCTCTTTTTAGGCAGCTCTTGCACGTGAGGTCCAACTGTGTTTAGGAGCCATGACAGGCGACAGCACAGCGTAGGCACGTAATGGGTAGTGGGAGGGGAAGAGGGCTGGGCAGCACAGGGCTGTACGAGACAAGTTGCTTCCGCATTGTGGAGCTGCCGTGAAGAGTACGAAGCCAGAAGTTAGTGGTGCCATGCCTTCACAGTCGCATCGTCCTAGAGAAATGCAGAAAGAGATCGTTGTTGGAGAAGATGCATCTTCACCTAACCTGATTTCTTCCGTCTAGCAATTGTAGTTTTCTTTTCTTGGTGTAGTAGTTCCTCCAGTCCACTTCTGTGACTGTTCTGTTGGAAGACGCCTTGGGCAGAGAGGGCTCTCGGCATTAGGAGAGGGTTTGAAAGACATTCTCTTTTTTTGCAGGAACGGTGGAAGGAGCTCTCTAAGGAGGACCAAGCGCCAAGTTCTGAGCAGTCTCCTCCACACCCAGCCAAAATAACCACAGAGAAGTACAACGGGAACAGCATAGGCCTGGAGAACAAAGATCAGACAGAGAAAATAAATACTGACCTGTCCACCAAAGTTCAGGATATCACAGATGGAAACATTGAAAGGTAGGCAAAATGAGGAAAGGGTTTAGAAGGCAGATGCGCTCTCTTAAAATGCCCAATTCTTGTATGACTTACTGTAAGAAACCTTAAAGATCTTTCTGCAGCTGGGGCAAAGGACAGGTGATATTTGACTGCCTGATTTAATTAATTTTTTAAAATAGAACTTCAGTTATTCCTTGTGATAAAGTTTTATTGTTTAAAGGTCAAGAGAAGAAGATCCAGTGTCTCAGTTGAAACAGCTAAACCTCACACTTGAAAGCTGTTTCCTGCAGACCGGCTATGAATGCCGTTGTACAGCGTGAGTTAGGTCAGAAGTGCCCAACACAGTTCCATAGTGATTTTTAAATCCAGTGCTAACTTCTGTTTGGGAAAATAGGTGACACCTCAGAAACCAAGTTTTTGTGGTGACTGCAATTGTGCATTACCCTCCGTTCGTGTTAAATCTACCGCTGTTAACTGATTCTGTGGGTTAGCTGTGTCGCGTGAATTGGTCTTTCTCTGCTGGTCTCTGTCAAGTTTCTCTGCTGCCCGAGTACTGGTGCCTCAGCTGTGAGCTGCCATAGTGGGAATTGCCATTGGAATCACTGTGCCGTGAGGCACACGGGCCTCGCTTGGGCCTGCCCACGTGAGGGTGGTGGGAGACCCAGGCAGCGGGCTGGGCCCTGCCGAGCTGTGCAGTGCACTGGAGGCCGGGTCTGTTCCGCAGCGCTGCAGTCGGAGACAAGACGCAGCCGGTCCGTGGAGACAGACGGGAATTCGGAAATAATGGGCGGCTTGCTGAACGCCCTGAGGAGTTAATCTCTAGGTCTTTATGAGTGTTTTGAGAGAAAATGATAGTGGTTTGGTAGATGTTTGAAGTAGCCCCTCACAAGCTGGGGACCCCCACACACACACGGGTGTGGTGTTAGTGTGCTACGACTTCGGCCCTGGTAGCGTAACAACACGCGACTGATTGAGCCTGTGTCCCTGATCAAGATCTGGCTTACAGCCTAAGATGTACAGCCTAAGGGCATTGCTGAGGTGAAAGGCAAAGCTGATAACAAAGCTAATCCTGTTCCCCGTTAAACATGTAGGTCAAGCACCATTTATATCTTCACATATGTCAGTGACTGCACGGGGCTTCGCTGACCTCGGACTGTCCACATCAAGGTCGTTAAAACAATTGCAGGGCTTAGATGTTCTGTGCTGCTGCCATGTGCTGCTGGTGGCTTGGGAAGAGGTTTGTTTTCATATTTTAATGGCCTTTTTTCCGGTTCTACAGCCCAAGGTTTACTTTTCTTTTTCTTTCAGTACCGTCCGAAAACGACTGCGAGAGGACAGAAAAGCTAACACAGCACAGAAGCTGCAGCAGATGAAGCAGAGGCTAAATGAGACTGAAAGAAAAAGAAAAAGGTGGTTATATTGGAAACCTATTCTCACTAAGATCGGGTTTGGTGCACTGCTTTTAGTTGGCGCTTATTCTTGCTGGAAAATGTATTTTCAAGAACATTCCTTGTAAGTAAACAGCCTGCCTGCCCCAGCGGCTACGTTTGCTGAAAGCTAGTGACTAGGGCTCTGCCTTTAAAGCAGTAAACTCCCTATACCTGGAACAGGTGCAGACCCTTACACACAGTAGATAAGTGATGTAAACTTGATCACACGCCAACATCTCAGGACTTTCCACTGCAGGTACTTAGAAAAATGAAGTGCTGCCCCCCAGCAAAGGTGATGGTTCGTGTTTATATGAGCAGGTACAAACTTGCTGCAACTGTTTATACACTTTTTTTTTTTTTTAAATGGTGTCCTACCTGATCTTAAGCAAACCCTGAACCACAGAGGTTTAGCTGCTGAAGGCTGTCTGGATTAAAATTTACATGCCTGACATAAGCAATAAACAGTGTTGTATCATTTAGATTATTAATGCAAAGAAGTTATCCTTAAATGTGTGTAGTGTGTAATGTGTAATTGAACTAGTGACACGAACATAAACATTTTATATTCTTACGACCTAGGATAAATATATTTTATAATTGCATATTTAATCTTTTTTGTAGTTCACTGTACTTTTAAAAGCTCAGTTTGTACAAATTTCTGACCAAAAAGAATTTGATTTTGATGCTAAATGTAATTATAATTTGTGCATGAACATAAGAGTGCCACCATTCCCCGTATTTTGACTCTCAAATTTATGGTCTGAGCAGCTAGGGGTCTGATGAAGCACTTACCAATTTCTACTCTGTTAAGTTGCATTCCTTATTTATTTTTTTTGTAGTTTCCATTATTTAAGTAAGACTTGGAGATTTGATTTTTTGGTTTTTTAAGACTTTTGAGACCTTGACCCCCACTGAAAAGCATACTGTTGAGTAATGTATCCAGACTTCAACTGCTGTCTGAAGGCCAAACAGTGTTAAAGTTCTGACATTCCATTAAATGTGAAACATAAAGGTTTGTGTGTCTACAGCTTCTAATTGCTGGAGAGAGTAAGGCCTATCTGTCAGTAATAGGTGTAGGAGGCACATCAAAGGAAACCGTAGCTGGACTTCCCGGTGCAGTTTTACTAGGAAACAACTGTTGGCCGTACTCCCCCAGACCCAGCGTGTTCGGCTGCGTGCATGCCACGTCCCCACCTGCTGAGAGTCTGGAATTGCTTTTCAGGTCCCCAGCACTGTAGGAGAGAGGCAGGACTTCACCACCGAGCGGCTGGTGTTTTGGGAAGCCCCGTGCTGCAGTCCCGCTGAGAGCACGCCCTTTCCGTTAGCTGGGCGCGAGCGCTCGGAAACCGCTTTCTGTCCGTCGAGTTGCCGTGGCCTGCAGGGACTGTGCGTGGCTGTATGCAGCTGCGTCCTCCCGGCTGAGACCCGGGGGTTTGTGGTGTCGGGCTGCGCTGTGAAACCGGGATTGCGTTTCTTCAGGCCTGGCCTTGAGGGATGGCTTTGCAGGAGTCGTGTTTTCTCTCCCTGTTTTTCTCACCTGGTTGTTGCCTGTTGGATATGGGAGGGGTTGGGGGTTTCTCCCCCTCCGCCCTCTGGTTCTTGTGTAAAGCACTGTTTGAATTTCTTGCCGAAAAGTACTAGAAGAGCTGGATAATGGCTATGCTCCTTACCCAAAGGGATTAACTGGAAAGGTTTCCAGTGCGTTCAAGCTTGGGAGTGACGCGCCAGGCACGGGGCCCAAAGAGTCTGACGTTTCCTACGCAAAGCTGAGTTGAATTTACTCTGGGAAACTCTCATTTCGCAACACCTACTACTATTTGGGAGTAGGCTGTTTATATAGTAAACAAATGCTGAAGGGTCCAGATGAGGAAAACAAGTGTAGTTTCTTGGGACACAGGGTTCCGCATTTGGGAAATCCTGTGCCAGTAGAACAAGACGGTCTGTCCTGTGGCGTTACTGACCAGTGTGAGCTCTGAGCGCAAGGTGACGGCTGTGACACGGCGGGGGCGGGCAGCTTACGTGCGTTAAAACACTTTGTAACGTGGGCAACCACCGTAACTCTTGGCCAGCAAGAGGCTTGGCAACAGATCTCTTTTTCCCCTTAAATTGGGCCGACGGGTTTTTCAGTATCAGCTCGAACTGACAGTAGGTGTAGATGTATGTGCCTTATAGTAGTTATTTTGGTTATGGGAAAACACATGGAATGTAATTACATGCTTTTCTAAGAGAAATATTCCAGATTTTATTCTAAATAATTAAAAGCAGCAGAGGAAAAAGCGCAGGTGAAACCTTCACTGAAATCATCCTGTCATTTACTGCCTTTCTGGTTGCACGAGGAGGATTTCCTCAGTATCCTACAGATGCTGAGCTCTAACTGGGGCTTGTCAAGTTGTCACTTGAATTTTTTCCTGATTCCGTCTTCTAAATGGTGGCTCTTCCGTTGTCTCCCCCTCTCCTCAGGGCAGGGCGGGAGGGGGCCAGCTCACGCCACCTCGCGCTTCTCGAGGCAATAAAGCAGGACTTGCGCATTCAGCAGCGGAGCTGTACCAATTGGGTTTGGTTCCGTGATCGTATCCCGTGAGAGTCTGACCCTTAATCATTTAAGGACCATGATCCGATAAGTCTTGGACAAAACTGTTTTGTAAGGTGAATTGTCCATGACCATATGGGCGTAGGAAGGGAAGTGAAACGTTAGATGTCGTAGTACATTCCAGGAGCTAATGTGGATACAACTCTTCTTTCTGGTCCGTCAGTAATCCTTAAAAACCAAAATCTTAAGGAAAGTTCATAGAATCACAGAGTGGTTTGGATTGGAAGGGACCTTAAAGACCATCTAGTTCCAACCCCCCTGCCATGGGCAGGGACACCTTCCACTAGACCAGGTTGCTCAAAGCCTCATCCAGCCTGGCCTTGAACACTTCCAGGGATGGGGCATCCACGGCTTCTCTGTAGGTTGTGCTACTTCCTGCGAACGGAGCCCTTGTGATACTTCGTTACTCTGTAGGGTTTAAACTTGCAGCAGTTTTGCACAACTGGGGCGTTAAATAAGAACGAATGCGGGCCAAAATGAAGAGCTGTCGCTGCCAGTGACCTCAGTCGTAGGAAATGCTTAAAGAAAGAGTAAAGCTGAAGGAGGTACCTTCTGGCCCCTCTCCTGCTCCCCCCACCCCAGTTTCTGGCAAGCTGATGGCTGGTCCTGTGCCGCTTCTGCAACACTGTCGCACTCCATTCTAAGCGTTGCCGTGTCGGGTGTTTCCCCGCTGCTCTGGAAATGTTATCAGGCAGAATACCTGGGGGCGTAGTGGGCTTCCTTGGGTTTGGTTAAACGACGCCTGACGTTCAGATGAACGCTTCGGTACAAACCATGCGCGCTTTCCAAAAAACAGCATGAACAAACACGCCAAACTGCGTCGTGAGGGGGTTGCAAGTTCGGAGTCAGGCCTGTAGGGTTTCTGTTCTTGGTGCAGGGACGGTCCGCGTAGAGCGACAGTACAGCTGTGGTGTTCTGGCAGTGTATCAGGGGAAAAATAATGGAATTCAGCTTGAAACAGTGATTTGGGGGCAAAAAGAAGCAGATTTGTTTTACAGGAGTAAGATGTTGTGAGTGCAACGTATCTTACTTTGTTCAACCTCGAGTGAAACAGTTGGCTGAAGAGGGAAGAGGAACATGCGTGCTCGGGGGGTGCGGGAGGTGGAACAGCCTGGCTAGCTGTAACGGCTGTTAGCCGGGTGACTGGGTTCGCTGTTCGGCGCCGTAGTTAAACCCCGAGTCACTGGAGGGCTGCGCAAGAAACAAACTTAAGGATGGCAGATGAAGGTTTCTGCAAGGCCTGGTGGCTTAGGTGAGAGGACGAGATTTGCAGAGCTGATGTAACGTGCAGCAGTCTTCCTGGGCTTTCTTGTTTCCCCCCAGAGTTTTAGCTCCTCCTTCCGTTTTGATGTACGGGAAATAAATGTGTTGAAAATGGCATCTCTGTCCGAGTCTTTATTTAAACTGGAAGGATAAATACTTGGAAGAAGTTTTTAATGTGACCAAAGAAAGCTGCTTTATGCCTCAGCGTAGCGCTTGCAGAACTCGGAAGCATCTTACTTGTAGCACCTTGCGAGCACCAAAGTCTTTTCCTGTGTTCCTTGGAGTAGAGCCTCCCCTTCCCCAAAACCAAAATGTGCTGGGACGTCTTCTCGCTACGAGAAGCCTTTGCCTAGAAACCCTCATTTCCACGCCGCCGTGCCGGGGTTGGCCCGCGAAG